ACCCCGTCCACCCAGTAAAAACATCCCCACTACACCACTGGTTGTAGTAGTACACCAACATGGATTAAACGTGTGTTTTTTTTTACCACAATGTTGGGGAAATTAATGGATAAAATGCACGGATATTATTATATATATGCACGGATTATTATTATTATTATTATTATTATTCCCACTCCGATCGGGACACTAGGTCCACCGTTTCCCCGCAGCGAGGCTCCCCCCGTTGACAGTTTACGTGGGCTGGGCTGGGTGCAGTGGCGGACTGGCCATCGGGACGAATCCCGATGGGCCGGTACCGAAGTGGGCCGGTCGGATAAGTCACTAGCACATCCCCCACTCCCCCCGTTGACAATTTACTAGTGGTACCGAAGTGGGCCGGTCGAGAGTCCCGGGCTGATTTTTAGTCCCAGTCCACCACTGGCTACATGACCGTATGATCGCCCATATTGACGCACCTAATTCCTAAACTTCCAACAGATACAAAATAAACCGATCCTTCAGCCTCATATGAGCTCTCAGACACGTTCAAAATTAAACTGTCATCGCTGTCTGAGCTTGCTGCTGTGTGCGCCATCGTGCGTTTACATGCAGATGCTGGGATCCTGAACGGTGCAGCTGGAGCGCTGTGCCCGCATTGACGTCCCCCATAATTTGGCGGGACTTGAAGAATCCCCGAGAAGATCCAGGAAATGGTCAACATTGAAGGGCAGATTAATGGTTATCAAAGTACAAATATCCAAAATCAGTTCAGTAACGGTTTTCAAGGGGACAATATTTACTCAAATTGATGGGTTTGGATGATGGGGGAAAATCGTGTCACAGGCTCTTTAAGCAAATGTCATCACTATACTATATAAACTCAATTCTCAGCTATGTACACCAGCGAGTACTACAGATCGTCATACAAAGTAACAATAATTAACTCTTTAGAACTAATAACTAATCTTTCTAAATAGCAAGAATATATTGGAGAATTTCTAGAATTTAAGTAGTCCTCAATTATTTGTTGCAAATGTAGTTTCACCGTCATTGGATATCACATTTAATAAAAAATGCTTCTTACGGGTGGCTTTGACTCACAACTTTAGCCCACTGTGGAAAATAAACATACAGCTCAGCAGTGAAATACAAAGCCTGTCACTACTCAAACATGGAAAATATCTTTAAATCTAAACAAAAAAAGATGTGGGCCTGTGTAGCAAGCACATGTATTCAGATTATCCAGTAAGGCCTCCTGTTGGATAATGGGCCCATAACAGAGTAGCCTGTCCTTTAAATAGCTAGCTCATGATAGAGGTATGATGTTTTACTTTCATAGGCTGATTTGCTACTAAAAGTGCACCACTTTTAACATAGCCGTGTTCTAATTCGCATTTGCCAACGCTGACGACAATTTAGGAATGCCCTGATCGATTAGCCTTCTATTGTTGTCGGCCCAAATTCTGTTTGGCATATGAAACAAACTTAACTTAGTAAACCAACATTGTCCCATGCAGTCAACATGTCGATGTATCCTTGGGCAAGATACTTAACCCTGAGTTGCTCCCGATGGCATGGCCAACGAATGTGTGTGAATGTTAGGTCCTAGAGTAAGGTACACTGCTCTGTATGAATGGGTGTGAATGGGTGAATGACATGTAGTATGTAAAGCGCTTTGAGGGGTCTTAAAGACTGGATAAAGCACTATATAAGTACAGTCCATTTACCATTTGTCCAGGCAAACCAACTATTTCCCCCCCTTATAATTAGGGATGCTCCGATCGGGAATTTTGGGGCCAGAATCGGCCTATACCGATAGGGTGGGTGGGGGATAGGGGGATCTTCCCTTTAAAGTGATGTTTAAAACTCAGTTAATGGGGCTCATTTTTATATTGCTTCAGTTTATAAATCGTAACGGATCAAAAAGTTCAGATTAATTTTTCAATACATGATGCGTGAAGTATATTATTCAAGTTTACATTAACTTTAGATAATAACACGGGAGAAATGAGTGGAAGCGCTCTCTTCCCCCCTCTCTCTCTCTCTCCTGACAGCGCGTCAGTGTCTCATGCAGCTCACTGATCCAGTAATGAGAGACCCGACTGTGAAGAATAAACATGTATAACTAGTTTAGCTTGTTCCAGAGGTAGACAAAATAGCTAAGTGTGTTAGGTCTAACTCTTAGTGTGTGTGTTGCTCCGCTCACCAGTCCGTCACAGCGGGTGGAGCTGGAGGATTTCTGCTTCACACACGTTGCATACCGCTATTTTACTGTCTTTTTCGGACACCTTAAAATACTGCCAGACCGCTGAAGCCATTTTGGCGAGCTTGTTTTGCCGCGCACAGAGAAAAGTGTCATGTATTTTATGTCATGCGATCGGCTCTCGCGATCGGCATGTTTAGAGAGCACCGATCGATCGGCAGAGAGTGAGTACCGGTCGATATCGATCGGCAGCCGATCGATCGGAGCATCCCTAATGATTTTATTAATCTGCCACCACCACCCACTGCTGGCTATCAACTAACTTGACAAGAGAGGGTAGGCGATGAAGAATGAGAATAAAAAGGTTGGAAATGTTTTGGTTGTGGAGGGCTGTAGAAATCCCTTCTGCCAAAAGCTGCCTTCACGCTGAGCCGTCACTGTGCCAGAACACGGACTGGTTAGACCAAAGCAAGCAACGTTACCCTGGCACAGCTCTGACTGTGCTTGCATCGGCAGAGGGGGGCTTGTATTGACAAATTGGCATTCAAATGAAGGCAGAACCGTTGTTGGCAAGTGTGTGCTGTTGTGACAAATTTGATGAATGATAACCCCAGAGTAGGGATGCTACTGCGACGACAAAACTGTTACTGATTTACATCAGACATTTTACAAGAAAATATATCTATGGCTGAAGGTTTCCACCTGAGCCGCTGGGTTATTAAAACTGTTCTCTGCACATCATATTTGTTATATCTGCTATAAAGTAGATATTGCTAATAAGGTGGTTCTGGACTTCAAACTTAAAAAGTAGCCAACCAAGTCGTGGGTGAATATTTTTTCATATGGCAAATTGATGGAAAAATAAAACTGCAATGTTTTTCCCAATATAGTGCAGCCCTAATTTGCACATTAGCAGTAGTGTAGCAAAGATGGAAGGGATAGCAGTACTCTGTTTTTTTTTTTAAACGACAGGTGCAATAACAATATTTTAACAATGTCCAATACACAACGTTTATTAATAACAGTTGAATTTGAAGTTCCTGGGTTATGATTTTCCTTCAGTGACAACAGAAGTTGTTGAATGATTTAAATCATCTTTGATGGTGTAAATGTGTTCATAATAATTGCTAGTTTAAAGACTATAATTGGTTTGCCAATTTGCTCTCGGATTATTTTTGAAAGGTTGGACAATTCAACAACTTAAAAAACCTGTTTCTTTTTGGTCTTCTACCGCAAAGGTACCTGCTCTATCAATGACTCCTTCTGTGTTCTGTCATTTAAATCTTTAGATATGATTTTGGTTTCTTGATGTCTCCCAGTTTTTAATTTCTCGGACAGATTACCATCCAGGAGACCGTCTTCGCAGATGTAGTCCTTATTTCGATACTGTCATTCCAATTTCAAAGCTAAAGGAATCGGGCTCACTGAGGCACACGGCATGCTACACAACAAAAGAATCGTAGACTCTGAGCAACAACCACATTAGCTTTTATTACATAAAGTACATCAGAAAGTCTCCTTCTTATCTAACTTGTAAACATGAACATGCATCCTGTTCTGCACCCAGGCTTGTTGAATGATCGACCACTGACAAGTTTGTTTGCTTCATATCCCCCCTTCGCACCGGAGTTCTCGCATCCTGCTGGCTGCTGTCAATCAGACACAAACAGCGACACACACCTGTAGACGAAAAAGCGTATTTCGAAAGAGCACACACACAACGTGGTGATAAACTGCAGTGATGCGGTGGAGACCTACTGGGAGAGGGACTGCATGTGTCCATAACAATGCACAATAAAGATCAGACTTGCTTTGAAGACAAGAATGTGCCTCTCTACACGTGTGGTATTGACAGCTCCGACAGGGAGAGTTATTTTCACCCATCACAACTTTGACACTTGTTGTTTTCTTTGTTCACAATGCAGCAGCCGCAGCAGCAGGCGACGTTGCTCCCACTGTCCGGCGGCGGGGGTGTGGCGGTCTCATCGGTGGGCCCCACAGCAGACCCAGAGAAGCGCAAGCTGATCCAGCAGCAGCTGGTCCTGCTGCTGCACGCTCACAAGTGCCAGCGACGGGAGCAGGCCAATGGGGAGGTGAGGGCCTGCGCCCTGCCGCACTGCCGCACCATGAAGAACGTCCTCAACCACATGACCCACTGCCAGGCCGGGAAGTCCTGCCAGGGTGAGTGAACGCATTTTAAAGCAGATTGATCACATCCTGGGGTTAAAAAGTTTGTGGAAATCAACACCTCATTTGCTCGTTGGAGTCTTTTCTGCTTTCTGTTCACCACATTAAAGCCTTAATAAAGTAGGTCTTGGCAAAGTAAACACATACTTCTTGTTCATAAACCATTTCCTATCTTGATCTTGTAAAATCCCGAGCTTTGTTTATGATGTATTTGTTTATGATCCGATCCCAACATTTATATAACCTCAAGTCAAGGTCTGGATATGCTTTACATCTTCCACATTTGGAAAACAACCGTTGAAAATGAAAGTAACTTACAACATCATGTTGAACAAGCAGACCTGAAAGTCATTAAGGGGAAACATATTTGAAAAAGGCATCAACACAGATCAGATATCTGTAAAATGAGGATTTCCAAATACCAAATATTCTCTTAAATGAATTTGATCATATTTTAATAATGCGATTCCTTTACTTTGTTAGTTTTTCTTAAAAGGTAGTCTGTCAGGTGTGCCTTTCCATGCCATGTCCAGACACATTTCTCCTAAATCCTTGTTTTGTCAGAACATAGACTGAGCACATAACATTTCCATACATTCAAAAACACTCACCTCCTACCTGCTTGCCCACTTGTCGACTTTCTCTTGTGCCACTAATGTCTTCCCCTGGATTTTCTCTGGCGTGTTTCTGTCTGCTGTCCTTCCTGTGCAAAATTCCCCTCAAGCGACTTTCATTTAGATTTCATGTCTTTTGCTCTGGCCTTGGACTTGAATGCTTAAGTTACATTTCAAGCCAACCACCCTCAGAGGCCAAAGTGTTTTAAGTGTGAAGGGTTCTATGTCTCTGCTAATTTCCTCTCGCTCAGGGTTTCTGCGTCTCTGTACCTCTGACATTTTGTGGCGAACGATTTCTTTCCCTATCCGCACATCTCTGATTTGACATTTATCTGATGTGAGTTCAATTTTACCTAAGGGAACTCGGAGTCTGCGCTATGACTAATGCGTGCACTGGCTTTGGACCTCAATCCTAGCTCTTTTTCTTTGTTCATCAGTTCACATTAAATCTACAAAAAGCCACATTATAGACCTGCAATGTTCCAGTGTTTGCCAGTAGTATTGGCGTTCTCACAAAGATAATGAAATCTAATTGTGTTTATTTGTGCTCGGGCTTTGGAGCTTGAAGCCAGATAATGATTGTATATGGTGTAATATTTAGAAGTGCCAATCGGATAGCAGAGGCTCCTTTCATCCAGCTGGTGATTTCTTGTCAGATTAGCTGCTAGCTCATTAGCATGACCACAGATGAAATGAAGCGCCTCCGTTTGTTCAGTCATGCATCAGGAAATACGGTATAGTTTATTTTTCCTCTGGGCCAAAGCAACAGCCTTCCAAGAGTAGAAATGAGTGCAGTGAGCTGAACGTTTTCAGTTTGAGCTGACACATTTTATTTCTGTAGTTTCTCTCTAGGGATGTCCAAATCAAGTTTCCTCCCCCCCCACTATAATATTGAGGGTCTGCCGCTTCAGACTCCTACTCCATGCTTCTATTTTATTGGATATTACAGCTGCACAGTGAACACTAAAGTACATTCAAGTTATTGCAATCAATCCATTGTATATGCTTGACAATTGAAAAACTCTGCACTGCGTTAATAAATACTTGTCCTGTATATTAGTGGTTTTGTAATGTTTTTATAAAAAATTGATTTATTTTATAAAATAATAAACCCTCTATAATTTATTTGGCTTTGTTGCCGTCTCAAGGTTTATTTCTGTCTTGTTTTGAAAAGGTCCTCCGTTGTTTATTTTTTTGGTGACTGAGTTTTTATTTTAATGTTTTGGACATCCTTTGTGCGGATAGCAAATTACCTTTTTTTTGATGATTCACATTACAGGAGATTGCAGAAGGACAGACAGCAGATGGTTGGAAAGTTGACGACTACAGCACTCCATGCATTGCTGTGAATGAAAAGCTTCTTAAATGATCACACTCGTGTGATGTTGTAGAACAAAGGATCAGAGAAGGCTCAATATAGCGGGCCAAACGGTTACAAAATACCCTGAAAGTCGCCCATACCGACCACATCGGTTCATCCCTTTGTCTCTCCTCCTTAACATTTATATGAAGTCCTCATAGTTTTTTCTTCGTTCTGTCAAGGACCGCTTTGCTCAATGTTATTAATAATGTGTGTCCAGGAAATCCTTCTTCTAAATGTGAGGTGTGTGATATGTCCTTTCCGCTTGTTATTTCAAAACAGAGAAAGTCGTTTAAAGTTACACAATATAATTAACCTTAATTCCAGTCTGAGATGGAGAATAGGCCTCAACTGTGAGGGGATTTAGAACAAGCTGAATGTAAAAATGGTTTTGTTTTCATTAAACATGATGTGAATTTCCAGTGATTGCACAGCTCTAACGTTGATTTCTTGGTGTCCCCATCTCCCTCCTCTCTGCAGTGGCACACTGTGCGTCGTCCAGACAGATCATCTCGCACTGGAAAAACTGCACGAGACACGACTGTCCTGTCTGCCTGCCGCTGAAGAACGCCAGCGACAAGCGCACCCAGCAAAGTGAGTACGAGTAGCAGGCTCCGGCACGCTGTCGCTCAGCCGTTGTAAAGTGGCCAGACATCCCCGCAGACACCAAACACAAGGCTGATTTACTTCCATTGACTGTACTGAATAAGCAGCGCATCTCTGCGTTGGTCTCACAAAGGCCCCAGTCTTTATCTCAGACATTAAGGGAGATTAAGCTCTTGTAGTCTATAGTGACATAATCAGCAAGAATAATACCTTCCTGTGGCTTTCCTGAAACCAGCCGCAGAGGCTTGTGTGCAGAATGTTTGAGTATTTGACCATTCAGGCAATTTATTTCTAGGTTTGTGCCCCTCCACAATGCCTAAATGCATTCAGTGAGTAAGTGTGTGGTCCTGCTGGGCTTGTAATCTGACACACAAGAGGGATAGGCGTGTGGTGGAGGGAGAGAGGGAGGAAACGGAGAGCGTGTGCTGGATGTGTCCCGCTGAGCCATTGGCTGTTGGGCTGTTTACTGCTACTCCCCTCCGGAACAGAGCCTCGCACTTAAACTGTTTTCTTTCTGTTTTGTTTTCCACTCTACGGTTTCACACTCTGTTCTTGAATACCCAACCCAATCTTTTTCATTCTTATTCATGACTTGCATTTGTAACACTTACTTTTCCATTTTTTTTTACTCTCCCCTTTTTTTCCCCCCTCCATTATTTTCTTTTCTTTACTTCTCCCCTCTGCATCTTTCATCACTTAAAGCATTCCAGTGTTGGTCTGTCCCTGTTTGCATGTTAAAGAACATGACGTCAAGGCTTGTGTCTCTCCTGCCAACACAAGCACAGCGCAGAGTTTCTTTGTTCCTCCGATTTTCGTCTTTGCACAAACTAAGAGCTTTTTTAGCTCGCCCAAAGCCTGAACTCAGAAAAATATGCTAATGCTTTGTCCCCTGGAGGGATTTATGCATTTATTCAGTTCACTGCTTTTCAAAGCGTTTAGCCTTGCATTATGTTCACACTGTATCATGTTGCCTTGTGACTTCATCTTGCCAGAGGTCAAAGTGTGTAAGCATGTGTGTTTTCTACTACTACTTTTGCAGTGTTTTCACCAAAGAGGATACTTTTTACATTCATTGGGCATGGCACACAGTATCAACATTTAGCATTTGTGTGCCTATCCTTGCTTGCAGCAGTCGAGATGGTGAAAATGTCTACCAGCTGGCAGTATAGTCAGATTGATTGTATTTGAGTGTTAAGACTGACGGCGCTGTCTCTCTCCACAGCCATGCTAGGCTCCCCCAATGCGAGCCTCCAGAACGCCATGTCTTCCGTTGGTGTGGGCCAGCCCAGTACTCCCACCATCAATACCTCAACCCCCATAGACCCCAGCTCCATGCAGAGAGCGTACGAGGCACTTGGGCTGCCCTACAGCAGCCAGACCACTGGGCAAGCCCGGGGGGCCGCGGGCCAGACTGGAGGCACACCCAACACACAGCAACAGCAGCTCCCGCAGATGAGACCCATCAATGCACTTGGTAAAGCCAAAGATTTCAATGTTTTATGGTCATGTAGTGATATTTAGCACTTCTGGGTTCCTTGAAATGTAATGTTTTTTTTAATTAGTTTTGGTTAGATGCCTGGAATAAGGTCTTGGATTAACATGAGCTTAACCATTTTTTTACGTTTTGTTCAAGTTATTACCCCACTCATAAATGTCTGAAGCTTTTACTTGTCTTTACGAAAAGGCAGCTGCTAACAAGTTACTAAATAAGACTGCCAACACCCGTCCACCTTTAGCTTAGTGACCGTGAAGTGAAGAAATGCAACCGTGATGCAGTTTGTTTATAGCACTAGCTATTTACTTTTAGTCATGACATGTATGCTTCAACTGTTATAAAGGTGTATAAATATGTGGAGATGAATCTGCTCCATGAAACGTGCATGTATCATAAATGCGCGTTTGCCACGGATCATATCTTCTGCTATAATCTAAAAGACAATAAAATAAAATCCAATTTATTTTTTCCGGGAGCCCTTGTAATGCTGACTTCCAGGTTGGCCGCAAAAACACAATATTAGTACTAGTATATATGAGCGCTTGTAGAAAACCTTAAAAACCTTTAAAAAGTTGTGCTCTCTTAAATGTAGGCATGTGTATTGATTGACTTGTTAATGCACAGCGCACCCAACTGCTAGGCTCTAAAATTGATATAAAAATGAATGTAATATAATGCAGAGTAACCTTTGCTGGCCCTTTTATTATGTCAGTGTTGAGAGTGTGCTCTGCAGCTGTGGTCACGGCAGCCATATTTTAGTTGCAGAGCACGATTTTGAAATAAAGGCAGTGCTGTTTGCTCACAGCGCTCTGTGTTACAGGTAACCAGATGGCTCTTGGAGGCGGGACTCTGGGCGTGACCACTTCAGATCAGACGAACCTGAACACAGACGCCCTCCCCAACACACTCAACACTAACAAGTCAGTCCCAGCAAACAACGGCATTTCATTCATTCACCCTAAACTTTCTTTTTATTGCAGGAAATTCAAGTAGCTACTTAAAATGTACATGTCTAATAGATCTGATTCTAGAGTGCACTCCCATGTAAAAAATGACACTATTTAAATATGTAACTTCTACCCGTCCTCCTGTTCCACCTCCAGTCAGCTGCTGTCAGACGGGTCCTCTGTGGGTTCGCTGGGTAACCTTCCCACAGCAGCACCCATCTCTGCCACAGGCACCAGGAAATCCTGGCACGAGCACGTCACTCAGGACCTGAGAAATCACCTCGTGCACAAACTGTAAGTGTATACCCCTGCTGGACGACTGGAACTGACTCCTACCATATGACATTTTGAAGGTTTTGAAGTACAGAGGTAGAATTTGAGATATTCATTGCTGCAATTCTTCTCCTGCAGAGTACAAGCCATATTCCCCACGCCTGACCCGGCAGCTTTGAAGGACAGACGAATGGAGAACCTAGTGGCTTACGCCAGGAAGGTGGAGGGGGACATGTACGAGTCCGCTAACAGCCGGGTAGGTTTTCTGAAACGGGCCTCAACTTGGAAATAATTCCTCTCCCTTTCCAGGCCACACACAAAGCCTCAGAATGTATTTGTCAACTTTAATATCGCCTTCTACTCACCCCCTTTGTCTCCCCTCAGGATGAATACTATCACTTCCTGGCTGAGAAAATCTATAAAATCCAAAAGGAGCTGGAGGAGAAGCGGCGCTCCAGGCTACAGAAGCAGATCATCAACCAGGCTCCTCTGGCCGCCCAGGGGAACCAGCAGCCCGGCCTCCCCCAGCCCAATGCCTTCAGCCCAAGGCCACAGAGTGAGTACAGCGGTACAAGACCTGAAGGGTTGTGAGGTAAAACCTCAAATGCATTTCAAGTTTCTTGCATCATTTTTTGGACCAAAACAAGTGTTAGAAACAAGTGTTTGTATTGCATTATTTCTTATTTTTGTGTGATATTTATGCCATTTCACATCGTTTCGTCTTGGTTGGATACAGTGATGCAAACACAGGTATGGTGAAAAAAGAGAGAACTATTCGAAGCAGGAAAAAAACAGCGTAATATACCATCTGACAAAGGCCTGCGCTATAATGCTTCAATTAACTGGCTATTCTTTATAATATACTCAGATCAATAGGAGACAGAGATGTTAAGTTATAAATCAAGGGGTTTTATTATTATTTACAGCAGGGGTGGGGAACCTTTTTCCTTTCAATTTTTACAACATCCTCCGAGGGCCGTACAAATTATTGAACTCAACTTCTGCTTAAAAAAACTAAAATCACAGCCAATTCATTTGGCCTTTCTTTCATGCTGTGCAAAGAAAAAGCAACCTCTTAATCCAGATATCTTACCATGACTCGCGCATGCATGCATGCATGTGTGGCATGACTACCAAAACAGAAAGATATGGACACAAGATGTGTGCAAATGTATCCATGTGAACATGATTTTAGTGGGGGGGACCTAACCTCCTATAGGGGGGTCCGGGGGCATGCTCCCACGGGAATTTTTTTTTTTTAAATATTTAAGTTAAAAGCATCAATCTGGTGCACTTTGAGAGCAACATGAGGAGATCTATGGATATATCTCTCAACACCCATTTGAAACAGAACTGTAAGCAGATTTTTCTTTTTGGATATTT